ATCTTCTAAACTCTTCTTACTTCAATTCAGTTTAATTCTAATTCTCTTATTTTTATACATTTTGATTATTTTTACATACATATTCTTTATTACAATTCTATTGAAATTCCAAATTAACTATTTAGATTTAAATTCTTGCCGGAGAATATTTATTTTTTTATTTGCAACTGATTCATTTGCAACTGCATGCAACGTTGTCAGATGTTTAATATCTAAAATAATCTGAACGAAGAATCTTTGTCTTTTTTTTTTTGTTGATGTAGTGCATTACCAAATTTACTTCTTTCTTGGAAAAATCTCTTGCCGGGTGGTTGGGTTGTCGAGATTATTATTCTATTACCAATTGTATTATGAATATCGATCATCTGATAGCCTGGTAACAGATTTATCGAGTTTTGTTTTTATTTATCGCACTACAAACGTCACGATAACATTATCTCGAATAATGACATTTCATGCAACATTCAGACTTGAGTTGGTACTCGTGTTGTTGAACTCGTGATTTTAGGTTAAAGTCGTATTTTCTGTATTATAGTTTCCCTGCATATTTTTGGCAAAAGAACAATACTAGTGCAAGGATTTACGTGAGTTATAAAGAAATATTCTTATAATAATATAGGAATTGTGCGTTAGTTCAATTTGATATTGTTGTCATTGAATGGGCGGGACGCCATTGATCACATAAGATTCATTATTATAACATTTATTATTGACATTATTATTATGGTTTGTTTGTTATATCTCTGAATGATGATATAGTTATAAATTTTAATAGTGAATTTAACATATCTTATCAATTATCTCAAAAAAATGCTTTTGAAAGTAATTTATTTTAGTTGACAAAAATTTTATTGTCATAATGATTTTAGAATGTTTGTTTGAAAAGTGGCAAGAACTCATTTGTTAGATTTGAGCTAAAAAGTATGATTTAACCCTTTACACTCGGATGCCGCCGCTCCGGTGACAAAGTACATATTATTTTGCAATTTGCGAGTGGAAAGGTTTAAACTTTTTTTGTAGCATATTATTTGGCTGTTGTTGTGCTATGTTTCATGAAAAATTAAATAGAAAACTATTACTTATATTTTCTATTAAAATTCATTAGGATTACATTTCTATTGAATTATGTGAGAATTTTCTATGAAGGTTGATAACAAAAAGTAATAAAAGTCGATTGATCCGTGTTCTCGAAATCGTCGATGAAAAATTGTATCCGCACATACATAATTTTTTCTAAGGTATGCCTTTGAAGGCTTTGAAACGTAAAGATATATAAAAAAAGTTTCATTTTGATTGTTTTGGGTTTACTGTAACCTACCCTATCCTATATTGATTCATATTATTTGTTGTATTACTTTGATTTTCAATTATTTTTTAGTCATTTGTTAAGTATTTCCAATAAATACGTATTTGCATATATATTTGAAATTATATTAACAAAATTATACCTGTTATCTACTCAATACAAACATGAGCCTGTTAGATAATCCCTCTTAAGCTTCTTATCGATTTGATAGTAATTCGATTGGTCTTTCATTATTTTTGTTACCATGTTTGAAATTTGCCCTAAATCTAATTAAAAATATGTTATAAAAATCTAATATTCGTCTCAAACTAATATTTTTATTTGCATAACCTGCAGAGATGATTTTTCACATTTGCAGTTTAATACATTTACATAGGCTTAAATCTGGAATGCATTATAGATTTTTACATATTTGGTATATTCATATAGGAAAAGTTTTTTTTATAATATTTTAACAGCAATCAGAACCTGTCAAAATATAAGCTGTTGAGCTGAAACTTCTCCTTACATTCTATTTTTAGATGGCAACCCAACGGTTGATCCATCCATATTCGATTACTTCATCTAGGCAAATAAATAATTTATCATTTTTGTTCATTGATTCATTTTATCATTGATTTCTTTGTTTTGCAATTACATGCAAATTTTAATTTCTATATACTTTAATAATTTTACTGCATATAGAGAACTCTCAATTTGAGGTCTATGAAGAATGATCCCAAAAATTAATAAAAATGTGATATCCAGCTTAATTTTCTCTACTACATTTCATACTGTAATATAATCCGGATTAAAGTAAGAAGTTAATTACCTACACGCACATATGGATATTAGTAAAAGAAAATTCCACCTAAGTGGTGTTTTTTTTGGTTATTCACGAAAGAAAATTCGAAAAGGTCAAAGGTTACTGAAGCAATTTACAAAGCTGAATCGATTGTGCCAACTCACCCGCAGTGTTGGTGTTATTTTCACTCACATATTTGGGTCAAAGTGATGATTATACGGAATAAATCAGGCTTTCTCAACATCAATTTTTGAAAATACTTGGGGTAAAATGAAATTGATATACACATTTCACATCTTTTACATTTTAGGACCTCCTGCTCTTTGTGTAAGTAACAAAAAAGTAAAAGTAAAACTTTGAGTATTTCAAGTTTTGTAGTCAATGTACATTCGATTGTCATTTTTTTTGTGTTGATTTGAATATTTTGAAGAAAACATAAAATCTACTAGTTATTTTTTTAGCAAAAATTTGAACTTTAATCGCGGACAATTCATAAAGCTTAAACTTCTTAGATCTGTTTCGTTATAGTATTGTATAATTCTAAATTATTTTATATTATTTTTTCACAAATAATCACATCATACCAGAGTCTAATTTATCCTAAAAAATGTTTCTTTTCGTTTTGAAGCGGTTTCTCAACCTTTTAGCATACTTTAGAAAGGATTGATATGCATGTGTGTATGAGCGGATACAAATTTTTGTCGAAGATTTTGAGAACCGTCGGATTAACCGATTTAAATGATTCGAAAAACACTCGATTCCTTCTGAGGGGCAGACATGCTGATTAGTTTTTGGATAAGCCAGGTTCAGCCGTTACTGCGATATGGGGCAAAAAGTGCCAAAAATGGAAAATCAGACCGATTTAAATGTTTTTAAAAACGTATTACTTGTATAAAATAAATGAAAAATTTATTAAATTTTTGGGATGGCAGGTCGAGTAGCTTCGGAGATCTAATAGAAAAAAAGTAAAAAACTCCTCATTAAACAAAATGGTCTATATTCATAAAATTTAATATGTTCAAAGTTTTCCAGAAATTTTAAAGTTTTCTTCAAAATTTTAATTTTCGGTACGGAAAATTTCAGAAATTTGCCTTAAGTCATACTTTGTAAAAAATGCCAGAGATCCTTCAATTCTTCATGAAAATTATATAATTTTTTGTAGCTATTAACTTACCAAAAAAGTAGATATTTTTTAAGACAGCTTTATCAAAACTTGCAAAGACTTTTACGCAACCGCATAAATATTTTTGTATACTTTAAAATAATCTTCCCAAATAAATGGCGTTCATAAATTTTATCAGTTACACGGCTAAAAGCTCTATTTATTTCCTTCTGAATAATTGTTTGCATTTTTCATTAGTATTGTCATGTTTTGTGTGCAAGATATTAAAAGAGTCGCCCATTTATTCGGTTTATTATCTTTATTTCGAAAAGCAGCAGGTGTTACGTCTTGGTTCGATCGTTTGTGGCAGATGTTCGTTTCTTTGAAAGTTTCTTTTAAAACGAGAACTCGACCGATGCGGATATTTAATTTTACATGTTCCTCAGTGGTGGGTCGCAAATAAAAATAAAATTTAAAGCATTTTTATCTTTGGTTTTCGACACATAATTGATAACATTTTTGTTTTAGTATCCAAAAATTTGGAATGCTTCATATATTTCAGATTCTTGGGTTTAAAAAAAAATTTGGGGCTGAGTTTTGCTGATGCAAAATTATTTTCTTATCGTTTGAGCATTTTATGTACTAAATCTATCACAGTTAATTGAAACTAAAATCTATAGTCTTCATTAGTGAGTCATAAAATAAAATCTTTAACGCCAGAGTATTTTTTCTGCTAGTACATTGAACTAGTAGAGTTCAAAAACAAATTTTTGTAAAGTTTTTGGACATAGGGGGATTTAAATATGTAGATCCTAGAAGAGCATCAAACTTATATTTTATTCACGATATTAACTAAATAAATAGTTTTTTTCCCAACAGTAATCAGAATTTAAAAGCTCTAAGTTATAATAATTTTTCTCTGTATAACAAAGTCGCGCTTTAGAAGACAACTTAATGATTGACCCATGATTGACATATTCATATTTAATATATTTTCATTATAAAATTTACTCTCATACTTATGATAAAATTTTGATTTCATGCAGTAGTAGGTAGTAGCGTGTGTTTGAGTGTTTTGATGTTAAATATGATATATGTAATAAAAACATGTAGATATTCTCATGTGAGCACCGTTATCACTACCGCTTGATATCAGGTTGTCCAAGGTGGGTGTAAAACCTTGCGATTGCAAAGTCGAAGCTCTTACCACTAAGTCACGCCAAATCCTAAATTGTATTTGATAAAATATAATTTATTTATTTTTTATACTCATTATAATTATTTATTATACTACACTACATTACAGTCGAGGGATTTGCATAAAAGCTCTTACGTTGAGATTAGCATTATTATCTTTAGAAAAGTTTTTAAAAAAATATAAATTAGTTACACGAAATGTTGGACACGAAAAGGATTTTTTTTCTGTAGAGATTTAAAAATAGATAGAAAATGCATTTATGCAAAAGTGGTGGTGATTTGCATATCATGTATGCTGAAAATAAATCATGGTTATTTTCAGAAACTTTATAGGATTTACTTCCGAAACATAATATGTATACGATAATTTTTAAATGGACCATTATTAGTCATTGATTTTATGAATTGCTAGAGTTTACATAACTAATCTCTATGCTATATATATTTTTTACATATTTTTTTAACAAAGATCACAATTAAGGTTCTTAAAAGCTTCAGAAACATTTAATAATTTTTTAAATGTTATTTATTTGTTATTGATTTTATGAATTGCTCACAAATCACAACTTAAGGATTCTAAAAGCTTTTCTGATGATTAGACTTAACTATCCACCTCGGTTGTAAAAATCAAGACAACCCAAGTTGTCCTATTCATATGTAATAAATTTTATTATTGCATTTTAATTGTTTTCTAATAGTGTAATTTGTGGAATGAATTGTTTACTAATGCAGCAATGCCGAAAAAGGGTTACTTTTATTTACTTGGTATATATGCTATCTATATTTTGAAACTGATGTCACTGCTACATGAGATCAGGCTACCCAAAACGGGTATCGAACTTGGGATCTCTAATTGACACACCTATAGCTCTATTCACTAATCCCCACGAAGAAAGTCTTTGATATATTTTTTAATAAATATTATATGCATTTGAAAAAAAAAATAGAAAACATAATTAATAACAAATAATTAAGAGAAACCAAAATACTAGTATATTATACTGCAGTATATTGCAAATCATACAACAAACTTGTGGCTGATATTTAGACTTACATTATTGATATCGAGATTTTTTTCCTAATTCACCTTAAACTAAAGTCTGCTTTAGTACAATTTTGTTTATTAAATCAAATTTTTATCTGAACTTCGCAGATATTTTTGATCCATTTTTCTCCTCATTATGTAAATTTAGGTCACAAGGGTATCTCTCGAACAAAAAAGATTTCTTACAGCTGTCTCGATTACTTTGTTGTGATTCAAGAAAGGCTTTATTTATAAATGATCGCCTAGGACTTTTTCCTACTAAACTTTTTATAAGGCAGGTGCGCCTTCTACCTTTTATAAAGACGCCAATTACAGGCACGAGCGCACTTTTTCTTTATATATTACAGAGATTTATTATTCTTTTTCTTTTGATTTTTTAGCTTTGTTCAAGAAGCTCTGTTTTATGTAAAAAATGTCGGTTGCAGCGTAATTTTTAATGACATGTGTTGTATAAGATAGTAATAAATGAAAATATTACTTGAAGCAACAGGTGCTACGAGGGCCTTAACACCTGTTGCTGGATAAAACATAAGGGTTATGTTCGATGTGCTCAATTTTGTTGTTTTTGTTTACAGGCGATTTAAATGTGCATTTAAATGTTTTGGAAACTTTAGACTTAACTGTATTGCGATGTGTTAAGTAATTTTTCTTATTATATGGTAATAATTACATATAGATAACAAGTAAAACTGTAGGTAAAAAATGGATTTAAAATATACAAAACAATACGTAATGGTATCGATTTATTTGCAGTTGCCATAAACAGAAAATTTTGTATTCGCGCCTAATTTATTTTTTAATTCATTCTCAATTTTAGTCTATTATGAAATATTAAAACAATATTTTTATGCAGAATTCAGAAATCATAAATTATGGTTAGCACAGGCTAAAAATATAACATAAAACTACGTGTAAATCGCATTTCTCTTAAAGTATTTTGCCTTATTTTTTTTGACACGTAACTTAATCAACAATAATTGAGATTTAACAACTTTTATAATTGTGACGATAGAAGTTTTGAAATTTAAGCGCAATCTATATTCGAAATAATCCACGTAATGAATAAGAATTTTTATTTTGCAACTGTTCAAATTAAAACGATAACATTTTCAACTGTTTATTTCGAAAATATAGTTTTCGCTGTTACTGAAAACTAATCAATGCTATTTCCAGTCAATATCTTTCAAACAAACATATATTTACTTAACTCATTTTTTTATAATTTGTGCTCTGAAAATGTATTTTATTAAAATGTGATGTCAAAGGTGATCGTTACAAAATACAACACAGACTATACTCTGTTAATGTCTTAAGAGCGCCAAAACCAAACTTTAATTCATTTCCATAAATAAACTACTTTTTGTATACCTATAATATTTTAAAATGTTCATGAAGGGAATAAACTCTCATCTTCCAAAGTTATATCAAATTTAAAAAAAAACTGAACAAATAGTTTCGCCGGGCCGATCTTGGCAAAAACTATCAGCATGATTCCCAAATTAAATTTTTTGAACGACGTTTACTTACATATGATATACACACATGATTTCTTTAAATATGTTGTCAAGCGATTCAGAATGAGTTAAATCGTCGAGAAAACAAATTTAGTGAATTGGATTTTTAATGAAACCATAAACAATTGCGAAAAAATTTCAATTTCCAAGCACTGGTAATTACAGTATCTTATATTAAAATACTCGTTTGGCATCAATTGTTAACAAAATAATATAGTCTAAACTCACACTAGTAGAAGTAAAATACGTTAATTATTGCATAAAAAACGATATGCATAAAAAAGGGCGATACCACATATATTCAATGATGTTTCGGCCAAATATTTTGATATGAAAAATAATTGATATATTAATAAAAAAAAAACTAGCTCAAGATGGCTTTCAATCATGAGAGTGTAGCCGAATTTAAACGACAGTGTATTTTCATTCCTTATCAAATACATTAAGTTTATCTGATATTTTATTTGTTTATATGAATAAATTAAATTAACAATAAAAATCAATAATTAAAAATATGTTATTTCACAGAATAATGGCAGAATCAACATGCAAGTGCTCCAACGGATCGGGTCAGCAGAGGGTCTTCTCCATGGGACCAAATACTCTGAAAGTTCCAATGAGTTTGTTCGCTGAAAACAGGAAGAAGGTGTGCGATGCTTTATCGGCACAAAGTTGTTCCTTAAAAAAATCCATTATCCTTCTTCAAGGAGGTGAAGAGGTCAGCTGGAACGACACGGATGTGGGCTACATTTTTAAACAGGTAAGAAATTCATTATTACTTTTTTTTTTATTAATTTCCTAAAATTATCATTTTACTCGCAAATTTTGGAATTTATATGCATTTTGCCGCTGGAGCGGAGACATCCGAGTCAAAAGGGTTAATACATAGTCAATTTTCAATTTATTCGGTTGGCAACTAAGTAAGTGCGGATTTTTGTTAGAAAGTCAAAGATATTTTTTATGAAAATAAATAACTTTATTGTGTAATGTATTGTCCATTTTGGTCAATGAGTTTTGTCATCTTTCAAGCACCATCATTATCCAACTTTCCTAAAAATTCTGGTTTTCATTAGCAAAAAAATTGAATCAGGTACAATTTGACGCTATCATAATCATTAAATTGTTTACCATTTGAAGAGTTTTGTAAGGATCGAAACAAAAAGTAATCAGATGGTGGACTGTACGGTAGATTTGGCAAAATCCATCATACAGTCTGTAATTAGAAGGTGGGTCGAGACTGTATGGTGGATTTGGCAAAAACATCCTAACTAATCACCAATAATTTTTGTCGCGTGGCCAAAGATATGTGATGTCAATAATGGAATAAATCATGGTTCGATTTGCCTATTCAAGCTTTTTTTTTTTCAAATTTCAATAACGATTATAGCGAAATTCAAACTTTTCGAAACCATTTTTTTAGTACGGTTTGTACTTTGCCACAAAATTCAGCTATCATCTCATCATTTGGCAAAAGTTTCTTCACAGATCTAGAGAATATAGTAAAAGGGGAAGCAATTTGGAGCCCAATTCATATTTTTGTTTTTTTTTATTTTTTGTGACCAAAATTTTAAGTTGGAACATTAAATAGGTTTTGAGATATGCGAGGTTGATGGGTAGCTGGCTCCGCTCTCAATACTAGTATTGAAACAGATTATTCGTTTTCAAAAATGTATAATTCGATGTTGATAAAACTTGACACACATTGTTATTATACTTTACATATGTAATGTTTTTCTTTAGTTTTTGGTTCATTTCTAAATATGCCGTGGACCCCCATTTTCATTTCGTGGATCCCCAAATTTAGTTTTTTCTGCTGTGGACCCCTTAAGAGTTGCCATGGACCCCTGGGGGTCCATGTGGACCACTTTGGGAATAACTTTAGATTAAACGGAAAACTGCATTTACTTAGTCGTCAACCAAATAAGATTGATCAGTTCAGCGCTGTTTCGCTCTAGGCTCTATCTTTTGGAACAAAACCCTGATGGAGGTGTACATCATCGTAACGTATGCACTTACAGTTGTATTTGCAATAATAATTATCGTCCAAACACGTAACTATTTGTTTATATCCGCAATCTCATCGTATTTTTCCTTTGTGTCTCTAGTACATCTTCGGGCGTACACAGATATTTTGTTTTGTGGAATAGTTTAGCACTCCGTCATCAGGTCAAACAACTTATTATTCTGCAGAGCGAGGCAATTTTACGCTACACCTAGTTCATCTACCTCTAGCCGGTTAGCTATCGGCAATAAATAAACGTCAGCGAAATAATTTATTGTAAACACAGTTCGCGTGTTTACAATTACGTCGGAGGTCGCTCCGGTTTCATAAATTCACTTAAATGCTGAATTGCTGAAACTCTATTTGTTGATTAATTTCAAGAAACTGAATTGCATGTGAATTGGAATGTTTTGCATTAACTAACAATAAGGCGGCTGTAATTTTGCGTTACGTAGTTATAGAATTTATTAAAACTCTCCTTCGACAATTCAGGTTGTTGGGTTACAGTTTAACCCTTGTAGCTGTGGACTGTATTAAACACTGATTTGTTTGTATATTATGTATTTGTTACAGTTCTAATTCCAATCACTGATTTATTACTAAATTATAATGAAAGAAGATATATATTTTTATTGGTTATTTACATATTGTTAAGCGGACTTTTCAATTAAAATACTCCGCTATCCCCTCTACCAGGGGTAGCAACCATTCCGTGTAAAGCTTAATGCCCTGAAGTTTTGTCACCTTCATGGCCGATATAATAAAACGAAAAGACGTCCGAACAGCGGCCATATTTTCTATGCAAATTCCGGAATGGGAAATAATAAATTTGTTACGAGGGTAGAGGGGTAGTTGATTCAGTACATATAAAAATTATAAATAATTATGAAAACTCAATACAGAATTTAAAAAAGTTCAAGATCTGATGATTTGCAACTGTTCGAATCGAAATTGTATTCGTCAATTTCGAACAGATTGGACTCGGGTGGATAAAACTCATAATGAATTTACCAAATTTTTGCAAGCATTTCTACACAAAGCTCATTCTGAACAAACATTGTAATAGAAGTTAAAAAGTATTGCAAAAAAATTAAAGAAAATCTTCAAAAGAAAACAAAAAGTGATTTTAAAATCTCATTACAATTTGAGTCATATCTCGTATAAATATTTCAGAATTTAATAATTGCTTCATATTGTTCAAGTATATTATTCAATTCATATAGTTGTTTCAAGTATAGTAAACAAAATTCAATGACTTAACTTTTTATATCAGAGTGAAATTTTTATTTCATGAAAATTATGTTTAATCTTGTACAAGATTTTTACACTTTATTGATTTTTACAAGTTTCTTTTGAATGAGCAATCACAATTTATAACTCACTCGAAGTCACTTTCATTTATCTTAATCCGCAATTTCTGGCACGTTACAAAATATTATCATATTTTGTTAAAGTTTAAAACAAACATTATCATTACTTTTCATTTAATCATATAATTATAGCCACGCGCGCGATTCATTTCGAAAATGATTGCAGACTTTGCAGAAATCGCATTTAATCCTGTTTGTTTATTTCAAATGGCAAAATCAAAACAAGAAAATTGTCTTAATCTTAAAAATCCACAAGTTGTAAAATGCAACTTTATGGTAATTTATGATCTTATACTAAATTCAGAATATAAGCAACATATTTGATAAATAAATTATTTTTGTTTTGAAAATCAAAATAATGCAAATGCAAATAACTTGAATTATTTTTTTCTTAGTTGATATTTTTTTATTAACAAGTTATCAATGTATACATTGTGCAAGAATAAAACGAGCAGTTATAATTTAACTATTTCAATCTAGGATCCTTAATTTAGGTCATAGAAAATTTTCAAATTTTTAAAAAATTTGAAATTCAAAATTGTAATTGGTACAATTTACATCTCGAATTCAAACTCTAAATTTTCAAACTTTAAATTTCTTCACTTTATTCGAATTTGGTAACATATAAAATTCTTTAATAATTTCTTCTCTTGAAAATTATAAAATTTAAATGTTTTTGCATATGCAAGACCTAAAGCAACCATTCAAAACAAAAAATTGTTTTTAATTTTGTAATAATATTTTTAAATATTTATTATTATGTTTATTGTGTTGTTATTGCAGTTATTTATTATTATTATAATACCTAATAAATACTTGAAATTTAGTTACAAAAACATTGTAACTCTGAAAAATATGTAACACTCACTTATGGAAAACTACATTAATAAAAAATAAATTCCAACGTGGGTTAATAATATTATTATGCAATAGTGATTCATAAACGAGTTCATCTACACCATAAAAATCTTGTATATTTTTAAGGAAAACTTATTAATTCGTTTTTTAAATTTTGCTGCTCGTTTTTTTTTTTATCAACAATTCCGTCGACGGTAATGGAATTTCACGAAATCCGGTTTTGCTAATTGTGCAGAATTAATAATCATACACATGCGGGCAATGAGCTCAATAACAACATAGCCGAGTTTGAATATTTATCAACATCCTGGACATTCAAAAACAAAACAGGACATTGGCCTGCATTGATCTATTATCGCAATAATAACTAATTGCAATCGATAGAGGAGGTCAAAGTAGACAGAACTTTAATAGTACGAGAGGTGGAGGCATTCGAGCTTTTGACTGTCTACCTTAGTAACTTACATTTTTTTTCACGTAAAACTGCAAAAAATATACATTTTTAACTAAATCATCTAATAAATTACTTGAAAATTTTTCTAATATTATCGTGGCGATTAAAGTGTTAATATGGGTTGTAATGAAGTATGAAAAAAATTGTTTCACTTTTCATGTAATTAAAATTAACATACATTCATTGACTATTTGTTTTTGACTATCTCGCTGGCGATGCAGTCTCATTCCTTGATATTACAAATTATTTTAATAAACTTACGTTTCTTACACGGCACGGTTTCTTAAATAAATTATGGAGAAAATCACAATATTACGTCTATATTATGGATAAATTTATTGTTTATTGATTATGAATGTTTGAAGACCAACTCAGGTGATGTATATATTTAGAATGACGTCCAATCTAGGTGTCATACCATATCATACCATATATTATAACTTAATTAATTGATGTTAATTCAATCCAATAATCTATTCCCAAGGACAACTGGTCAATTATCACCTCTCTTTGTATTGTAATTTTGCATCAAATGATTCGATTTAATTCGATGTCGTCGCCTCTTTTACTATAAAACTTGCATCGCAAAACTTCTAAAACACGTGCCGAGTTCGTCATGTGGACGCTATAGATTTCCTGTAACATTATAAGAAAACATTGAACTCGCATTCGCAACTTATATAGAATTACAATTAATTGTGGTATCAATAAACTTCTTTTGGAAAGGCACCTTCACGGTTTACTACTACTAGCTGAACTTTAATATAAGAATGAAATTTTAATCTTATATAATGAAGAGTACGCCATCATTCATGCCGTATACATGCTTCGTTTAATCTTGGCCATAACATCTTTGTTATTTCTTTTGTTTTGATGCGAAATTGTGTAATAGTTTTATGCAACTTGGAAAAGAATGCAGAAAAGCTTTTTTATGGGTATTCAAGGTTTTTAATGCCCCGTGTAATTGTTTTAGAGACATTCCTAAATGCATTACGACTTCTTGTGGTAGATGACTACATTTAAGTGAAAACAATGAAGGGTCAGGATTGCATGTCGTTTCCTCTCTGGGTGGCACAAATCGTATAAAAATTACAAAAACTTCTAAGATTTGATAAAAACTTAAATAAACAGGTTTTGGAGCAGTATTTCATTTTTCAATTCATGGAAAGCGAAAAAAAAATGTGTGTTTGTGTGGATACAGTTTTTCGTTCACAAGTTTACTACGAGAGCACGGATCAACCGATTTGAATTATTGAAAAAACATTCGATTCGTATTGATGGGAAGACGTACATATTACTTTTTGGCAAAGATAGATCCAGCCATTTCGAAGCTGGGTAAAAAATGGATATTAAGTTTTTTTGAGAATGGAACATCCGATTCCAATGATTTAGACAACATTTTAATTGTATTGACGAAGTGAAAAATTTATTACATTATTACGAACGCAGGTCCAGCGGTTTCGGAGTAGCCTAGCAAAATGTAAAAAAGTCAACATTTGGTGGTCTGAAATGATCATTACTACAGATCATTATTATTGATTCATATACATGTATAAATATTGATACACTGCATTGATATGATTGTGATCATAGTAGACTGGTGAACAGTATAGACGGTAGACTGGTGAATAGGGTAGACAAAAAGCTGGTAAACATGTAGACTGGTAAACATGTAGACAGTGGACTAGTGAACGTATAGAAAGCAGACTGGTGAACATGAAGACAGTAAACTGGTGAACGTATAGAAAGCAGACTGGTGAACAAGGTAGGCAGTAGACTGGTGAACATTGTAGACAGTACACTGGTGAACACAGTAGATAGTAGACTGGTCAATAGGTAGACAGTAGACTGGTGAACAGGTTGACAGTAAACTGGTGAACAATTTGAAAGTAGACTGGTGAACAGGATGACAGTAGACTAGTGAACTGGTAGCCAGTAGACTGGTGAACAGGTTGACAATAGATTGGTGAATAGGTTGTCAGTAGACTGGTGAACAGGGTAGGCAGTAGACTGGTAAACACTGTAGACAGTAGGTTGGTGAGCAGGGTAGACAGTAGGCCGTTGAGCAGGCTAGATAGTAGGCTGGTGAATATGGTAGACAGTAGACTCGTCTACAGGAAGACAGTAGACTGGTGAACAAGTTGACAGTAGACAGGTAGTCAAATACACAAGTAGACCGATAGGAAGACAAAATGTTAAACAGATGGGCGAATTGACAAGTAAATATGTACATAGATAGAAATTTAATGTAAAACGGGTGGACAATCAGGCAGATACAAAAGTAAATAAGTTGACTTTGAGAGGTAGATCATGCACAATTAATTAAATAGATTATTTGCACATATCAGGAAGTTCATTCAACTTACCTTAGAGCAAAATGTCACTTGCATCTGAATCAATATACTGAATAAGGTAGGGGCTGCCCTTGCTATCAACATAAAATTATAACACAATTATTTGGTATTAAACAAACTTCTTTTACATATGTGGCTTGGAATATTGGTCGAATATTTATTTTTAACAGTGGACCAATTACAAACTTTTATAAACATTAAGAAAATTTTATGGCAATTATTTATTAACAGTACAGCTCCGTAAGCCATAATTGGATTTTGATCATAAGTCACGATTCTTTTAATAGCCCCAATTCACGCGAGGCGTCTACACGCAAGTGTTGAACATTTACACGTTCCATTCCACGGAAAGATTTAGTTGCCCTGATAAGAATTAGGTTGTTTGAATTTGTTACGAATGGGGAACATGCATGATATATTTGAAATATAGTAATAGAAATAGGCGAAAACATACTGGCCACTGGCGATTTTTTTCCCAGCAATGACATCTCACACTGCACGATTTAGACGTTCACAATTTGGATGTAGGATCTTGCATCGAACTCACTCTGAAAATTATATTGTGGGTTTTATACTTGCTTTTAACAATGTTGAGAGATTTTATGTGAGCTGTATATCTAGAAGCATTAGTTTTATATGTTTGTTCAGGTCCATTATTTGTATCCCAACTCATAATTTTTTTCTCACTATTTTCGATCCAATAAGTCAGAACATTTTTAAATTTGAATAAAAAAACCTTAATTTTTTCAATTATCGTATTAAGACGAAACAAGGTGATATTTTAATCATAATTTTCATGAAAAAACTTTTATCTCACATAGTTTGAAAATCATGAGCTTTTAAGTGTATTTGAACTTCTAATCCTCATGCAACAAGGTTGTTCAGTTAAATGAAGCATTTTCTAAACTTCTATTTTATTTACCAAGATTCAAAAATTTCTACATGTTTCAAAATTAATTTGTACAGAGTATTTATTTTCGATTTAGCAATAATAATAATAATGATGATCTACATAAATTTTAATTATGCAGAATTTAACATATATCTACTTTGCAATACATTGTCATTTATTAGGTTGTCAAATATCTCCCTTCCGCTTTTTTGTTCTTGGTTTATAATACAAAAAGGCGGAAGGGAGATATTTGACAACCTAATAATTGATATTTCTAGTATAGATCAAAATTATTGTATATTATTTTTAATACATAATCAAATTAGATACTATACAAAGTTCATATATGTATTTATAATGTATTATCGAAGCCAAATCATGAAAATTTCATGAATCAAACATGTTGATCAAAGAATAGTAATATATACATTGTTGGAAATTTTCCACTGTGTCAGCTTAATTGAGCTTGTTTTCATGACAAAACTTATTTGAAGCTTGTTTTGTATTGTGCAATAATGATTAAAAACAAATTGTATACAAAGTTTAAAGACTATTAACAAATACACAACTACTTGCATTTTGTCAATAATAATAATATGATACGTTGTGATATTTATTTTAAATACTTTGAAATAAATAACACTATGTTAGGGGGCGTCCATTGATCACGTGAGATTTTTAGGGGTTTATTAATCACGTGGGGGTAGGGAGGAGGGGTATAGTGAGATATCACGTGTATTTATTTTTTTGCAGAATTTTTTCAGAAAGATCCAAACATTTAAAAAAAAAATCGTACAATTTTTTCTCGTAACTGAAAATACATGGGGGGGAGGTTTATTTAGAATACCACCACGTATCCACAAAAGGGGGTTCAAAAATCTTTATAAAATCGATCACGTGATTAATGGGCCCCTTACCTGGTCTGGTGTAAAGTTTTAACAAAAATACAGTTTTTAACAAAAATCTAGTTTTTTAACTTCCCATAGGGTAAGTTATTGTAATAGGCCGAAAATCGAAATTGAAAATTTTTACATTTCTCGACGTTTTGAAGGTTTCTGAACATTTTGGCATACCTCGGAAAAAATGGATGTGTGTGTGTGTGTGTATGTATGTATGGATACAAATTTCCAGTCACGTTTTCGGGCGCACGGATCAACCGATTTGAATGGTTCAAAAAACATTTGAATCCTATTGATAGGGAGAAGAGCTGATTAGTTTTTGGCAAAGGCAGGTCCAGCCGTTTCGGAGATACGGAGAAAAGAGTGCAGAAAATAGAAATCGACTTTTTGAGAGAACGGAGTATCCGATTTGAATGATCTAAAAAACATTCAATTAGTAATGATTGGGAAGTGTTTATTAGTTTTTTGCAAGGGCAGGCCCAGCCATTTCGAAGATACGGAGCTAAATATGTAAAAAATGGCAGTTTTTGAGAGAACTAAGCGTCCGATTTAAATGATTCAAAGAACTTTCTGCTTGTCTTAACAAAATAATTGATTTTGTAAAAAAAATTGCTTCAACTTTTTTTTCCAAAAAAAAATTTTTTTGTATATTGAAAATAATTCAGATGTTATTTTTAATTCTGACTATAGTTCTAATATACTTTAAACAAATAATTTCAACTTTGCAATTCAGTATAATATTAATAATAATCTATTTGAAAGCATTCAGTATTCCTCGAACATTTCGTTACGGTACGGGAAGTTCCAGCAATTTGCCTTAAGGCACGATGCCATACACCCCACTAGTTTTTATTTTTCTTCACTTTTATCACTTTATTCAGTGTTTATTCAGTTTAATTTGTGAACTGAACCACTCATATAGAAATTGTAAATCATATTATATCGATAGGATAATCTTCGAATCGATTCTAACTTTGTCCTTCTCCTTCTCCTTCGCAGGAATCCTACTTCCAATACATGTTTGGCGCTAAGGAACCCGATCTGTTCGGGGCCGTTGAGGTCGGAACAGGTCGAAGCACGCTTTTTGTTCCGAGATTGCCGGAGGAATATGCGGTCTGGATGGGACCCTTGCATCGGCTCGAGGACTTCAAGGACATGTACTCCGTCGACGACGTGCGATACACCGATGAGGTTAGTGAAATTTTATAATATTTTGCACCAGTAAAGGAAAATTTTCTTAAGACGTTTGGGGACAATGAAAGTTTTAGCGAGGTACAAGAAATGACAGTCATTTTATTTTTAAATTGGTTTTGATATCCCAAATTTGATTAAAAAACACCAGAACGGTTATAAGGGCAGTCTGATTATCATATTTCAATCGTAATATACGATGAATGCTATGGCATCCACGTCAAGTGTTCTCTTCTATTTTACGCAATTTGCTTGTCCAAACTTGACCGTTTATAAGGGCAGTCTAATAATCCTATTTGAATCATTATATACGACGAATGCTATGGCATTCACGTCAAGTATTACTCTTCTATTTCATGCAATTTGCTTGTGACGGCGGGAAAAGATAATACAAAAATACCCTAAAAATCAGTCATTAAATTGGCAGGTATAATAATTACAAAAACGTAGGGTTATACAAAATTAGATTCAAAATAATTAGACCTTAAAATTTGAATGCTATAGCATTATTGAAGTTTCATATTTAGTATTCTATGTCTTCTTTATCTTTATTGAGGCTTTTTTTTATTTGGGAAATAAAATCCGAATTTTGATAGAATGTTCAATTAAAGTCTATACAGAAAATTTGGCATATTTAATTATAATTATTATAATTAACGTACAAAATTCTTTTACTATATCAATTTAATTAAATGCAAAATTTTTAATTATTTAATTTAAACACAAAGAATGTTTTATATCTGTGTATTTTATGTACGGTATTTAAATCTACATAAGTATCTCTAAAATATACCGTTATATTCTCATCCACTAAAAAAGTCGTAAAATTCAAACTAAATTAATTAGATCATTTTAAAAAATCACACGATTTTTAATAACTTGATTATAGAGAATATTTAGAACATGCGAAAAATTTTGTACTAGGCGATAAAGTTGATACATAAAAATGAGATTGACTTCCAGTCAAATCTAATTGAATAAAATGTATAAGCCAGTTGTATTCGTAAAACTGAATAGTATTATTCATAATATTCATAATATATAGTATTATTCATAAAATACTCACTTAAGTTGGACTTGGATTATTTGTAACAGAATTTTGTGCCAATTTGATCAATATTAAAAGGCAGTGCGGACCTGCTTTCCCACTTTCCCAATTTTTATTGAACAATTTTATAGTAAATTCTTGTAAATAATTGTAACAACAATCGTAGCAAAACAGATTATTCAGTGATATAAATTTCAAACATAATTTATTTTTCTTAATATTAAAAAAATAAGTTTATACTCATTAATGTAGAATTTTATCTCATATCTATTTTAAATTAATCAATATTATGAAAAATGATGATACAACTATACATACACTTTTTGTTTTTATCAATTCGTGAAAATCCTTCTTAAAAATTGATAAACTAATGAAAATAATTATAATCAAATATTAGTATTATCTATATTTATTATCGTATTTTTTCTTTGCTAAGACAATCAATTACAAAACTCTCAGAAAAGTTTTAATAAAAAATCTCAAATATCTAACGTCTTCTAGTAAAACCCTATAAGATTTATGGAACGCAAGATACAGATTATTAAAGCTCACTATTTATAAATATTGAAAAAATAATGGATTTTTTTTACTTCGCCCAATATTAATAAAATACACTGTAAGCAGCTCATTAATATATTACCTACTGAAAACTTGCGTACTATTTTAGAACACGATCAAGATTGCTATAAAATATGAATTTTTTATAACATGATTTGTTAATCATATATAGGGATTATTTATCTGAGTATCTAAATATGCATTTTTTTATGCAATTCAAGACCGGTGCACACGACGCCGGTATTTCTTGTAACATATTTCGTCAAGTAAGGTGATTGTGTACAAGAAAACTATTTTATTGGAATGTAAACATAAAACGTATATGTATTAGTACGTGATGATATTATCTCATATTTATAAGAAATAAATAAAACAATAATAAAAAAATATGCTATTGAGTCATATTTTACATTTAACTATGCTCACCTTGCGATGGAAACTTGACAGAAAATATGTTACAAGAAATACTGGCGTCGTGTGCACCGGGCTTTACATATATAATATAATTATTTCTTGGGCAAATAGTAAATATTCGTAGGGATCAATTGGTGTTAGGAAAATATTGAAGGAATGGCATATTTGATGTTTACAATGTGTAAAATTAGAGTTATTCAATTATAAGTATTAATAACTTGGAAACGTATTTGTATATCTAATTCCAAGCAAGAGGACCTCTGAGAGGGTCTCCTAGTCGTAGTTCGGGAACATCCGCATTAATCTAATTTAATATCTAGTGTGCGACCAATGATTTGCCATCAATGAATTGATTTAATGTTTCCTTTTGTTGTTCGTTTAAGGAGTTTCCGGCCAGTTCTTCTATACACTTTGCGTTTGTCGCATCCGATCAATAACAAACTCGTATATTCTCATACGAAAAACCTGCGATTATAAAAACTTTGTTGTCGATGACGTGGCCAATACTTGGAATGTCTTAATGAAATTGTCATATGTAATACATTTTTTTTTCTTTTTGTTTATTATTATTATTATTATATTTTTAACATCAATCAGAACCTTACGTCCTATGAGCTGTTGGGCTGAAACTTCTCCTTACTTCGTATTTTTAGATGGTAACCTAATGGTTAATCCATCCATAATTGATGATTTTTGTTATTAGAATTAATCTAATAGGGCTGACTTTTTATTGGTGCAGCAATGCCGGGCTAGGGCTATTTCCACTTGGAAACATATTGCTACCTATATTTCCAAGTGAAAATCGTTGTCACTGCTGCCTGACAACAGGCTGCTCGAAGTGGGTATCGAACCCGGGATCTCTGAAACAAGTCCCGTCGCTCTTAATCGCATACCTATGGGCGAGTCCATACTTGGAATGTCTTACTAAAATTGTCATCTGTAATACATAGAGTGCAGAAGTTTAATCAGAAAATTGCAACTGAACTTCGTCTTTCTCTATTTTACATCATGAAGACGTAATAAAGGTTGAATATCCGTATATTACCGACTTCCTTTACTTGAAAAATTTAATTTAAAAATGAAAAGGGAATTAAATTTTTATATCTCTAATGTTGTACCTGTTGTATGATAATTCTAATTAAAATTTTATTTCCTCAGCTGAAGTTGAGAATTACTATCGTAAAACTTACCATATAATGTATTTTAATTAATTTAAGAATCCCTTATAATTTCAATATTCAGGAAGTTGAATAAAACAGTATCCGTAGGTTATCACTTTAATGGAATAGTTTAGTTTATTTGAATGTTTTATGGTAAATATTTTTACAGAATAATGGTGTACTCAAAAGTTTCCATCAAAAACTTAATTGCTGATACTAAAGTATAATTAGATGATTAGTTCTGGCTGTGTTAATTTTACACTAAGTGTCCCAGAACTTAACGTCAAGCCGAAACGAGGTGATAGTATTGACCTTAAAAAAATATTTTAAAAAACTATCTCAAGTTGTGTGGAAATTGAGGTTTTAAGTGCAGCCTAGAGCTTTGGTAAAATTATGTCAATTTTTCGGTTATTGGGGTTAATTTTTATTAATTTTGCTTATTTAAACCTTGAAACCGTAACCGTGAATAATATTTCTAGGACCGCAGTAAAAAATAAAACAATTTCTCCAAGTTTTCAATAATTAAGAACTGATAAGAAAATTTTGGGTTTTTATTTTTTTACTCTAAATTTTTCAATAATATAATTATCAAGCAATTTTACCATTATACAATCCTGATTAAATGATTCATATATGAATTTAAAATTTTTAAAATCGGTCGACTTTCAGAGGCCCTCATTTTAAAAAAGTGTCCTAAAGTGTGTTGGCTCATTTAATCGTAAATTGTATAATGATAAATTGCTTGATTATTATATTATTGAAAAAAATTTGATTAAAAAAAAAACAAAAATTTAACACTGTAACATGATATAAACAAATCAAGATGTAAGTGTTTCCTACTTTGTCAGGTTGAAATTAAAAATTTTCTGAACAAAGCATATTTTTGCCTTTTTTAAAAATTACCATAAAAAAGAATCACAGGTGGCTAACCTTCAATATTTTAAGTATTTTACTTAATGAAATCGATTCATACACGATATGTTTTTTTATGAAAATTCTATGTTTTTTGTTCTATTACATACTTTCTTTTGTGTATCATAACATAGTAAACAATTTCTTTTCACAACAAAGAGAAATGTATGGCAATAAAATCTTAACGGCGCTTTATTTGTTATTTCCTTCCCGGAAAAGTTTCATAACAGAATATGAAAATAATATATAATGTTTACCGGTAACAAACAATGAAGCAATTTAAAAAATGTGTTTTAATTTATATGATATTCCTATAAATTCATGAAGTCAAATAGTCTAGCTATTGAAATTTAATAGGAAATTAATGAAAATTGACAAAAACAGTTTTCACTAACTAATGTTATCTCTTCCTTGTCCCAAAAAATTCAAGAGATTGGAAAAATATTAGTTTTTTTCAAATCAATTCTTATTTTATTTTTTAAACTTCACATTTAAGAAGGCGTCAATTAATCACGTGATCGATTTTTTAGGGATTTTTGGACCATTCCTCACCTTTGATGATACATCGTAATATTTAAAATTCCCTATCCCCCTGTCGAACGAATTTTTCGAATTTACGAAAAGATTGTAAAGGTTTTGATTTTTTTTTTTGAAAATTTAGGTAAAAAATAAATACGTTATATCTTACTTAGACCCCTTCCTCTCCCAAGTAATTTTTCTTCTTTTTTTTTTGCCAACCGCCCGACCCCTAAAAGCCTCACGTGATTAATGGACGCCACCAAAATCGAATTGCATTTCATGTTCTAATTGAGTCTAATTCTAAGAAACAATTTTTTTGATTCGATTTGTTAATATTATCACCAAGTTTCGGCTTGACGTTAAGTTCTAGGACACCCTGTGTATTGATG